TTTTTGGGTGTAAGGGGTTCTAAATAAACCTGCAAGAACCCAAGCCAACCTCACCTTCACATGGTGCACCCTGTTGACCAACAGACGAGGCTCCGGCAAACCGACCGATGACGGTTTAACCATCTAACGTCGTAGGGGTGGAAAATCTCACTGGTGACGGGCAGCAGCGTCATCAGTGAAATAACCTACGTTCTGCGATCGCCAACCCGCCTGCCCAGCGTAGCGATTATGGGCAATATCTTGAATGCACACAGACATAAAGCCACGCCCCCCAGTTCCCGGCAGCTCCCCTATTCCTGGTTATGGTGGCGATCACGGTAACGGTGGGGCGATATTCAAAGACGAGCCCTGGACGAGTCGGTGATCACTACCGGTATTGAACCTGTTGATCACGGAGACGTCTCTGAATATGTACCTCTTGTCCGTCATGATGTAATCGATCTCATTTTAGTCATAGTCAAAGTCCCGACGCTTTGCCACAATTAATACTATTCGATTATCCATATTTTGTCCATCAGTAAATAAGTAAGGTCTGGTGGTCTTGGGATCTTACTCTATGAGTTTTTGAAGAGAAATATGATGTAGCTGACTGTTACGACTGCGCCATCTAGTCATTCCTGAGTGAAGTAAGAGATTTAGATGGTTTGCAAACTTCGCATTAAGTGTTCAGGTTTCGACACTTGCAAACTAGATGGCGTTGCCGACAATGTATCGTGAATATAATATACGCAGAAAATGTGTGGTTAAAATACTTTTTATTGACTTCCGAGCAGTAAACATCTAAACCTATCTATCACATTGTCTTTCATTCCATTTTATTACATAGACATAGTAAACGAGAAAAAAAATGGAAATTTTAGCTATGAAGTATGACATTAAATTTGATCATTTATTATATTACTGCTACAAAAGAGAAAAACTTTCAGCTACAAAGTCAAGACGAAAGATGTAACGTAACTATGAGTAAGAGAACATATTTGTTTCTTAGGTTTTCACGCACATCACTCATTAAATAAAACTAGTTTTTACGGGTTAATGCACGAAACTTTATTTATTTATTGACGTTTTGCAGCCTTTTCAGGTCTGCATCGTCAGAATAATGATTTTTTATTTAAAATTGTCGAGCTATCTTCGAAAGACTTATATTGAGCGTTCGGTTATTTCATTGGAAGATTTTTAAAATTTTATTGTCTATGTATGAATTTATTATTTAATTTACTTAATAAAGTATTTTATTTAAAATTCTTGTTTGTAATTTTGAGTTTATTTATTTATTTGACCCTAACTACCGTAAACTACCACCGGTTCCAAAATTGGGAGACCTTCCTGAGAAGAACCGGCGAAACAAACTCAAGAGAGGCTTTCTATCTCCTTCTTATGTTAAATTATGCAAACAAAAAGAACTAATAGTATCTGATGGTCTTGCAGGGTGTGCTAGGGGTTGGGATTTTATCTCCTGTATAATAGGTTCCCAAGCTGGTGGTATATACCAACCATCTTCCCTATTGAAATTTGGATATTTTTTAATCTCAATAGCCTCGCGCATCATTCGAGGAACGAACCGCCGCTCAGCTGCAAGGATCTGTGGTCTATCAAATCTAATGTAGTGGTTTGGTCCCCCTAATGCATGTTCACACACTGCAGATTTATTTTCGCGCCTATGTTTCATATCTGCGATATGTTCTTTTACCCGAGTCCCTATACTCCTCTTTGTTTGCCCGATGTAGGAGAGCCCGCAGTCGCATTCAAGTTTGTAGACACCAGCAACTTGAAAGGGTATATTGCACTTGACCGGTCGTAGGAACTGGTTGATCTTCTTTGGCGGCTTGAAGTATGTATTGATTGAAGCACGCTTCAGAATCCTCCCAATCTTGTCAGTGACTCCTTTCATGTAAGGTAGTATAGCAGGTTGTCGGTCGACTGTGCTAGGTTTGACGCGACTGTGACGGCGGCGTGGTACATTCAGGTTATTATCCTTCAGTACTTGCTCGACATGCTGAAGTTCAGCTGCCAGGTGTTGTTCGTCACAGACACCCCGTGCTCTCTGAAACAAAGAGTTTCCTACGGCAGTTAATTGTTTCGGGTGATGGTGTGAGTCACCATTGAGGTACCTAAGAGAACATACTCACGAAAACTTTAGACTAGCTTACACAAACGATAAGTTTAACAAAACGCTCATTCAATAAATAAAATGAATCATCAAAATTGATCAACAAATATCAGATTATGGCGTGAATAACAACAACAACAAAAAAAAATCCGAAGAATGGAGAAACTCCTTTTCGAAGTCAATTGAAAAGGAATTTGATATCGGCAATAAAAAAGTAGATTTTGTTAACTTGTATGTAGAGAATAAATCCTAGAACTAATAGAGATATAAAATTTTAGGACCAATAGAAAACTACACCATGCCTAGACAAGCATGCGATTAAAGCAGCCTAAGCCATTCAGGAAAGTGACTAAGGCTATTTAAATCTCGTTCACATTTTCACCCGTGCAAAGCCGGGGTAGATCGTAGTGTAAATTTGTAGAAACTAGATTTATTGTCCTTAATACTATAACATCAACTATTTCCATGTAATCATGACTTGATCTCTTCGAAAACACCATAATTCAAGTTTAATAATACACGGCGTTGGCAAATATACCGCTTGTGTTAATTATCCTTTAGGACAACAGTGTTGAGGATTGGTATTAATTAGAGAGTATAAGTCACCAGAGGGGTTGTTTGACGTAATGAAAATGACGCACACGTTGTGTTGACATTATTCTGAAATCCGATATCTCTGATGTTGAGCACAGCATAATAGCTTTTGTAACTCGCAACGAAATCACGTAAAGTCATTCAAATTACCTGATGAACTTTTCGTTCCGGCGGAGAATATTTAATCTCTTTTACGGTGTTGCAAATGTAATTTGTGTAAAGTTAGGCATCTAATCGTAACATCTAACATTTACGCTACCTACTTTTATTCACGACATTCTCAATGAATATTAAATACTTTAGTAAGCCTTTGCAATCTCCTTTTTATATTTTTTTTTTCTTTTGTGATACATTTTTACCAATCGTTCCACTTACGTTGTCCTATTGCTGAGCCCCTGTTGTTTGTATGTTTAGTTAAAATTTAAGTTTCTCAGGTTTTTTTAATTATATTTGTACTTATTTGTACTATTTTTATCCACGTATTGAATGTCGGTAATAAAGAATCAATAAAGTTTATAATCATAGTCACACTTTGTTGTTTATCGCAAGTTTTTTTTTTAAATAATATCTAAATCAAATTGTGCAAATAATAATATTACGGAAAACGAAAAAAAAAATTTTTCCTTCACCCAAAAAACACGGACCATCAGTTTTGATTACAACTTTCACGAAGCAGTTGTTAGTAGAGTGAGCAAAATCCATGATTTGGTTGTTCTCCTTGATGAGATCTTGCTATAAGTTGATCACGTAGAAAAAAATATTACAAACAGAGCCATTGAAAGTCTTAAGTTTATTCTGTTTACTACACATAAGTTTCTTTCCATCCATAGTATACAGACGATTAGCATAGTCCAGCAATCTTCATAGCTTGCTGGCTTAAGCTAGTCCAATTTGGTCACCGCGTACAAACTTCACGTCTAGGATGCATACAGAAAATAATCTTCAACCATTTGGTTTAATGTCTGTGCTTGTAACTCACCGCTGAGATGATATGCAGCCTCGAAGTTAGGGCTCTGTAGCTCCTGTATCCTGATAGGATAGTATGGTGCCCATATGAATCCTGGTGAATTGGACACTTCTGAATCACAATATACTTTCCGTTTGTTGAGCTAAGCACTGGTTCCCATGTTAGGATTTTTGAAACGCGGAGCGACGTAGTGATAATGTAAGTTTTGTATCGAGTTATCACTCTCGCATGTTACCTGGAAAAAAATTTGAAGGTGGATGGTTCTAAATCCTCCATTATTGGAAAATTTTAAGTTTTATGATTCGAATAGATGCGTGTGCCGATGCCGGCGTCCGAAATTGTTGCTGTTACCCACGGCCAGAACCAACTTACTGGCAAAAACACCTATTTCTCGCAAAGTTACCCTAATAAATAGAATACACAAAAATATTGATGTATTCGCGTGTAGATTTAGTGAATTCGAAGTCATAGCATTAAAAGTTTCGTGCTATAGAAATTGTTAATATGAGTATATTTATTTAATTGCCATAAAACAAATTATTTCAATATAATGTTAAATTAGTAGTAAGTAATAAATAATCATGTAATAATATTATATATCAATATTGTAATAATGATAATACAATTAATAATTAATTAAGGTACATTGTCGCATTGGGCTATATTATCTGTAATGGCAATTGTAAGTAAATAAATTATTAATAAAAAATACCTTATCCTCCCAGTCCTTTCCTTGGAAATAGAGTAAAATAAAATGGAAACATCTTTAACAGTGTCATTATTATATCCATAAATGAATGTACCCTGTAGAATGCTTTCAAGATACTCATTTATTTGATTGCTTACTTGCTTTGATGGCCATGGGTCATGTTTTATACATATTCAATCTAATAATTATACGTTGAGCGGCAAGGTATTGGATTTATGAAACAGCTTAAGTAACATGCTAAGTGCGTTCTCCTTGGAGTTCGGATTAGCTAATATATAGTTCGCAGTTTTGACTCTGTTACTATTGTCAGAATTCTTTTACTGTTCTTGTTGTCCGATTTTATTAGATTATGCACCGCAATGTCACCGTATTACATTGATACTTACTTTGCACCCGAGTTATTCTCCAAATTTCCACCGTTAATTGTTTTTAATCCAACCTTTACGCTAAAATTCATTTGTAAAGTTTCAAGTCGCTACAATAGTTGTTCGTGAGGTACATGCAAGCATTGGTACAATTAAGTGTAGTAAAAATTAAAAATCATCAATTTGACATCTGTTTGTAATTTTTATTATATTTTTATGAAAACTGCGTTAAATTGCTTGATAAAACTTTAAATTATATACTAGAAAAAAATTGTGAAAAAGAAAAAATCTTCTTCAAGCACCTATTTCCTGGCAATTGAAAAAATATACTTTGGCAGCTTAATTCAATGCAATTTCCGCTAAATGGTCAATTTTATAATTTTGCCAAACAACACCTTTAATTCAGGTAGATGTAGAAAGTCGATTTCTGTAATTTTTAACGATTGATATAAAAACGAACAATGAAAATGGTGCAACGTTTATTTTTATGTGCGACATCCTTATTGTTTCAATTATAGGGAATTTTGCGTTATTCTGTATAACTAAATGCTATCGTTGAACAAATGAATATAATATTGGAATTTCATAAAGCATAGGAATGCTGATAATTGATTTGCATGTTCTACACTTGATTACATACCTACATTGTAAACTAAAACAAAAAATCCAGCTCTTTTCGAATCATTTTCTTTTCATCTTCTCATTTTTTTAACGAAAAAGTAGCAAGATGTCGTCACTTAATGAACATCCATTGTCATCCAAACTAAATGCGTATGCCAAATTTTATCTCAATCAGTTAAGGATAACTGCTTTTAAATTAAGTTGCAAGATTTGACCCGAACATACCTACATTGCAAAGTAAATAAAACCATTTAATTTAATAAAAAAGGGGAACTTCCAATATGAAACAATAAATTAAGTTCAAAATAAATATTGAAAGAACACAGTATATGTACGGAATATATAGATAAATAATATCGGTTACAGCTTTATTATTTGAGTTTCATTAAATCAATAATGTTTCACTTCTGCTTAAAGCTATTTCACAATTTACGAAGAGACGCCGTCAATGGCTTTCTGCACTGAAACAGTTTCAATTGAATCAGCAAAAAAGCACTATGCTTTTGGACAGGTTAATTTCATTTGCTAAAAGATGGGAGGATCCCAAGTCACCTTTACTGGGTCCGAATTTAAAAGCTCTTCATTTGTTTGGTCTCTGGAAAACAGATATTCGGGTAAGAAGTACATTGCTGATTATCGTAGTGGTTTTTGTTATCACACAAATTATAGATTTGTACTTGTCCAGAGAAGACATTAATAAGGCGCTTTGTAATTTTTCTTTGACAACGTTAAGCGTGATATGTATCGCCAAAAGTTACTCACTTATCGTACACCCAGTGCTTTGGAAAAAACTAGTTGAAAATATCTCACAGGAGGAAGCGACTCAAATTAAAAAACAAAACCCGGAAACATTAAGTGTTATTGGTAATTACACGAGATACTCTCGATTTATATCGTACACCTATTGGATAATGGTTGCGATGACTAATTTTGCTCTTATTGTAGCACCACTGATAAGATACCTAACGGTATTAAAATATAGAGAAGATATAGCAAATGGTATAGAAAGATATCCGCACATCATAAATTCATGGTTCCCTTTCGATGACAACGCGATGCCAGGATATGTTTACGCTTCTGCAATTCAAATTATAATGTCAATAGTCGGATCTGGTTCATTAGCTGCATATGATACAACAGCGTTTGCTATAATGATTTTTATGAAAGGCCAATTGATAATTCTAAAAAATAATTGCAAAGAGCTATTCCGATGGGAAACAAAAGAAAATAATATCGAATTTTTCGCTAAGATCAAGGAATGCCATAGACACCATGATTTTCTGAAGAGGTAAGTTATTTAAGTAAATAATTGCTAGATTAAAATGAGTCCAGCAATATTATTAAACAACAAGACAAATCGCGAACGGTCTTGTTTTAAAATTGCCAAATAAATTTTAAGTCGAAAGAAATTATTATTCCGCTGGTAATGAAAATATATTTAATAATTAATAATAATTGTGACAATTAACATCATCGGCAAACCTTACTTTTAAATGATTTGAGTTTAATTTACAAGACTATAAAATACGTGTACTTGTAATTTGGGAATGAAGGCTACGTACACATAACTGCGAATTCGCGTCGCATCGCAAATATCTGCGAGCTCGTACGAATACACCGCAAGAACTTCAGATCAGTAGTGCAATTCTGTAAAACCCATAAACTCATCTCACTGTGTGAAACGGATCCGCTTTTGAATCTCTTTATGTTTCGCTTCATGGAATTTTCGCATTCTGTAACCAATTGTACAAGCAAGTGAAGCGAGATGTCATTTATATCCTAAGTGATTTGTAGTGTTACCATTTTTAAAGTTTTTGGTAAATCGAGATATATCGACTTAGTTATTATGCGTGAAAAAAAGCACGTAAATTTATTCTTTAGATATATTTGTAGATATGAGGCTCAAGTTTAAAGTTTTAATGAATATAAACTTAAAATAGTCTTATTTTTAAAGTTTGGTAACTTGGCCGAATGAGGGCTTACTCTATGCGCATCTCTGTAATCGAGTGAGAATCGACGCTAGCGCTACTAAGTGAGAGTGGCGGTTTAGAAAACTATCACAGGTGAGACCATATCATACCTAAATGGCTTTGACGTTTCAATGGCATTCTGTAACGAATTTCAGCGCTTGTTTACACCTCACTTTAAAAACCGCAGTCGAAAGTAACTGTCAAAATAAAAGTTACTCATTAGCTGCGGTAATAGAAGTGATTGTGCGAAGTGAGTATTTTTGTAGACTATTATCATCATAAAACAACGTTGCTTTTGTTTATTTAAGTAATAATTCTTTAAAATTATGTCTATCTAGTATTTCAGATGACTCACTCTCCATTAAATAAATAAATATTTCCAACACTCAAACCAATCAGTCTAGCCCCAAAGTAAGCACTGTAAGGCTTATGTTATGGAATACTAGGGTAACGGATAGAATACATATACTGTACTTATATAAGTATATTTATATAGAAATACATATTAAATATCCATGATTAAAGTGCAAATGCTCGTTTTCATCACACAAACATCTGCCTTCACCGGGATTCGAACCCGGGACCTCTCGAGTCGGCGACACCATGAAACCCGGCGTACAAACCACTCGGCCACTGAGGTCGCCAATTACCTGCTTTTTACTAAAGAAAGCCCTTGCATGATGTAGATTTGGCCAGATGCCGCCGACAAACCCATTTCTATGTAACCTTGAATAATTTCATTTTAAGATGACTAAACAAGTAGATACGGCACGTTCATTCTAGCATCAAAGAAAATATGATCCGACTCAACTACATAAGCAACTCTCACACACGCAGAAGTCTGTTTATAAACATTCAATCGACCGAGCGAGGCAGAACTATACGCTGCAACGCGGCAGCGTATTGCTGTCCTTTTCTTAATACAAAATGGCGGTTACATTTAAAACATTTACGACAAACCGTGATTTTTGAGAAAAAGATATAGTTTTACGAATGAAAAGTATTGCCTAGGCATTTGCTATTTGATTTTGAACTGTTTGTGTTCTTTAGAAAAGCATCGAAGGCATTGTTTTATATTTATAACAGAGACCATCTATACGCAATATTGATATATTGAATGCACATGCAGCGTCCAATTGTCACTACAGCGAAATAAATTATAGTCATCAAGCACCACAATATGCGGATCACTTTTAAGCCGCGAGTGCCGTATCTTCCCTTTTTGTTTTAACCTAAGCTAGATAAAGATTTGATTCAACAATTGGAAAATGATTTATAGTCTTCATATAGAAACCAAGTTTAAAGGAAAAGGATTATCCAATAGAAGTAAAGTACCTAACTGCATAACAAAAATAAACCCAAGAAACTTTTTATAGGTAACAATGTTAAAAGAATAAAAAGTTGTGTACACTTTTATTTGTGCAAATGTTAGTTACCAAGGATAATATAGGAAGCAGTAAGTAAATTTTCTTTCACTACAATAAAACAAATACTTGGGCAAATAGGTATACAAAAATAATAAATAAAGATAAATATTACATATAATTCAAGTAGAACAGTGTTTCTTAAATTTTTTGCAATCTTTTACCTGTACCAAAAAAATATATGAGTTTGTTGCTAAGAATATTGTATGTAGGTAATAAAATTTTTATTTGTAGTTTATTAACATTATCTAATACTTTAGTAGTAAATGCTAACAGAGCTATTTAGGCCACTATTTAACTTTGGCTTAGACCACTTTACCTTTAAAAATATTTTCAAGAAATATCTTTTTCTGGAGTTATTTCAATAAATACTTTTGTTACAGATTTTTGGAGAAATTTAAAATGCCTGCAGCTATTGGTAGTATAGAATGTACCTTTATCACCATAATAAGACCAAAAGAAACTTTAGTAAAAAGCATAAGGCGACGGTGTTGTGTAAACATTATAGTTAATGTAAATTGAATAAATATATTTTGATTTAAAAAATAGCCACTCATATTTTTAACCCTTCACCACAGTAAACTACAAAAGTAATGATTTTATTGAACTATTTCAACATCAGCCTATTCCTGCCCCCACTGTTGAGGCAGATGGAATAGGGAGACTGGCCGTGACCCACCTAGTGCGTACTGATCAGTGCATCTAAGGACTGCAGATGCAGCTGGGACCAATGGATTGATGTGTCATCTGAAGCACGGAGAAGCTCGAGATTATAAGTTTTTGGTCACCCATCCAATGACCAAAAGTTGCCTAACTTTCATGATTGCAGGATGAATACTGTAACAACCTGCGTCTCTGGGCTCCTCTTATTTTGAATTGAACTATTTAAATCTGTTGTACACTAAAACTATAACTATTTAAGAATAAGTTTCTGTGTAGTTCCTATATTTAATATATATATATACCTACTTAATTAAAAATGTTAAATAATATAGAGCGGTGAGTCACGTAAACCTTCATTGCAATGAAAATGAAGATATTTTAATAAAAGGGTGATTATTTATATTAAAACTCATTAAAATAAATAGGTAACATTCATGAATTATGATATGATATTACATATTCTACTGCCTTTGAAACAAAAGTGAATTCATTTGTATATTATGAGACAGCATTACATTTACAAACATTTTTGTCAGAGATGCTCTGCCAGCCTATTTGCTATTTTTATGACATTTTTTGTATGTAACTAAAGAGAAAATTGAATATTAATCAATGCTTTTCAGAACAAGTATCTGAGTAGCGTTATATAAAGCAGTATTGGATCACTAAATAGCTCAGTGATTATCACTTCCATCTTTCAAAGCAGTTGGCAAATAGGCCTACTGGTCTGTAGTTGTAGATGTAGAAGGTGGAGGGTCCTCTTTTTCATGCAACAATAGGCAGTGTCATTAGACAAATTTTAACTGAGATCATTGTTGAGATGGAGGTGAAGCCTGCAAGCTCTGCGTGTTGCTGAAATTAAAAAATTATATAAGTTGTTGCTTATGTAACAATTATGATTGGGCCTGGTTCAGAATAAACTTATTAATGAAACCCTTTTTTCCTTTTAACACAAACTATGATTTTTATAAAAATAAGGTATTGAGATAACTAATTATTCAATATTATTACATTCTATTATACATACTTGGAACAGCAGCATGATGTGGAGCTTCTATCGGAGTAGGAAGTGGTACTTTTGTTGAAATAGGTGTTGCTTAAATCTTTGTAATTGCAGTCTCACTTGTTTAAATGACTGGGAATTATCTAAAACCAATTGTATATACTTTGAAAACATAATTCATAATTGTCATGCATGAATACAAAATAATCAATCATTGTCTTAGAAAGTATTATAATAAACTTATTTAAAGGTATTTCATGCTCACCGGAGACGTGGTGCCAGTGGGGTTGTAGTAGGTAAGCCATGTAAATAGCGGTAGGATCCTGCAAGAATTTTAGGTTATTTAAATTATTATTGGAAAAATAAAATAGTACAAGTTTTACATAATAATAAAACTTGTATTATGGAGCAGAGACGATGCACAGCATCTGTGAGAGTGCGTCGACTTCCGGTCTAGCGATTTCCGTTAATTTTACTTACCGCCATTGTCGTTGCTATGGTAACTTCCTTTAAATTAATACTTTAAAAGACTTACTTCCGTTTGGCGCCATTTGAGTCACCTTAAAAGGAGTTGTTGGTGCGCAGTGTTCTCATAGAAGTCTCTCACCAGGAGGCCTTAATTGGATGCTGTGCATCGTCTCTGCTCCATAATACAAGTTTTATTATTATGTAAAACTTGTACTATTATCGGCATGTGACGATGCACAGCATCTGTGAGAGACGTGTTTATTAGCTCCTGGTGACTATGTATGATGATGACGCTATGTGATGATGATTACCAATCTGGTTTATATAAAATATACCTGTAACATGTCTGGTACATATATGTTAGGTGCATATTTCATACATAACAGAAATAAATACAAATATCATTATTTAATGTTTTATTTAATTGTTTTAAGGCACATTATCATATTTCAAGTAATTATTTGCGTGTAATCAATAATAATGTAACAAAATTATCCTTACAGATCTAAGATTGATTTAAATAAATACATGTATGACGTTTCCTATTAGATCTGACAAACATTTTCATTGAATTGGTTCGAAGTTTTTAATCAAGGCATTACTTGTATTAGCCAAATCAGGTTTGCTTTTAATTTGTCTAAAATAAAATTTTGCAAAAGTATTTTCACTTCGCCAATTACCCCGTGAAAGAATATCATCAATGGGTAAATTATCCCACCAATTCAACGAAGCTACAGCGGAGCGTACACTACCTGGGGACGCTTTGATACCAGCATCCCTAAATACAGTTTTTATCCAGTTAGCGATAAGAGTTCTAGTAGCTGCTTTTCTTTCGCCAGTGATGGAAATAAATAAGGCGTTGTTACACTCCGCTGTTCTTCTCTGCTCACCCAGTTCTGACACTTTACGCAACCAAAACACTGGACAAATATTTTTATTTGTGTTATTTGTCAGTTTCCACCCTGACTGTCTATATAGTGCGGTATCCGTTTTAGAACCAAATATAGGCCATAATATTATATGATCACCCATGTCCTTAAAGAGTTCAGGAGTTAAGTTTAACATTGTCAAATCATGGACTCTTCTACCAGATGCTAAAAGCAATATACAAGCTAGTCTACGGGAAGCTTCAAACAGGTTTAGCCTGACAGGTGAATTAGAGCTTAACCATGAAATTAAATCAGATGGATTCCAAATAGGAGCCTTTTCTTTTACAGGCTGTTGCAAGGAAATTGCTTTGAGCATATGTTTTATCAAAAAATTTTAATTTAGATCCTCTCTGGGAAGGCCTAGAGTTAAAATAACAGATTTATGCAAGAGTATAGTGGAGTATGACATTTTTTTCTGTAAGTGCAAATAAGCTAAATATTTTGAAAGAGAACTGCTATTGGGATGTTTATAATCAAAAACGTTGTCCTTACACCATCGAGTCCAACAAAGCCAGGCTGGTCTATATGTCTTGAGAGTAGATTCCCTCCAGCTTTACTTGAGTAGTGACTTCTCTGTTTCAGTCAAATCCTTTATTTCATCGGCCCACCCCCAACTTTCCATACTAAAA